GGCGGCTAGAAATAAAGGCATGTATCAGAGTTTTAGTACATTCTTTGCTAAGATATTTCCTTATCCTCCTGATATTGTACAAATAACAGAATGCTGCAGAGCTTGTTTTCGTTATGTTTTCACCCATTGATAGCTTAGAATCTAACCACACACCGAGATACCGAAGGGGAGATTGTGGAGCATTATGGCATTATGCCATCAATTGTGATTTTAGCGAGTTGCTGTCTGGTGCCGATCAAAAGAAGTTCTGTTTTGGCATCATTCGTGAGCAACTTGTCTTGAGACATCCACTGCCTGATGTCTTGAATGCAACGTTCGATAGCATCAGCCTGGCCAGAGTGCGCCTTAGGACTAAACGAGACGTATAACTGAGAGTCATCGGCATAACAATAGACAGTTGGAAGGTGCTTTTCGACGACATCAAACAGTGCGCATGCATAAACTGTAAAGAGAAGCGGACCAAGACACGAGCATTGCGGAACACCATACCGCAGGTCAAACTTATCAGATGCAGCTCCCCCATCAGAGACTCGCTGGGAACGGCTAGACAAATAAAATCGAAAACAGTCGAGGGCAGTGCCATTCAAACCAAGTTTTGACGATAATCTGTTAGGGAGAATGCTGTGATCAACGTTATCGAGATCAAGCAATACAAGGATAGTAACGTGCTGCTAGATAGAGATAGATAGATAGATAGCTTTATTAAAAATCCATTGCAGCCCAAGGGCTGGATTACGGACTGTAAAATACGTTGAATACTAAGACTAACTATTATAAATAAATAACAGTAAATAAATAAAACAAAAGAACAAGGATACTACGTCATGAAATTTAAGAAAAGAGCTGCGAATTTACAATAAAACCATTAGAAAATAGCCGCGTTATGCATGATAAAACTATTCATTAGTCTATTTGCTCTACAAAGAGGCACGTTAAAAGCGCGCTTTCTCCTTAAGGCTACAGTACTAAGATTACGTGGCGGCAAAAGGCCATGTAATTTGTGGAGGCTGTTGTCCTTAATCTCATTGAATAGGCGCTCTGTCAGCCATTGGCGCCGTTGATGGAGGGTGGCAATATTACACTCTTTGAGAGCCTCTTGATAGCCTAAATCTGGGAAAATAATTCTAAGTGCACGGCGCTGAATTTTCTCTAGCTCTTCAGAGAGATACTCAGGCAGACCATTGTGGAAAACTTGGCAGGCATATTCAGACATGGGCCGGATACACGTAGTATAGAAACAAAGTAGCTGCGCAGGATCTCCTTTTGCACGCTTAAGCTGCCTTAATAGATATAGCCTAGAGGCTCCTTTTTTGATAACATTCTCTATGGGAGCGTTCCACTTTAGATTGTTTGAAATTGTGAGACCAAGAAGTTTTGCGCTAGTTACAACCTCAATTGGTTTGTTGTTAATAGTAACTGCTTCGAAAGGATCTACAGACCTTGAGAAACTTATCTGCAACTCTTTACACTTGGTCTCATTCAATTGGAACTTATCTATTTCGGCTTGCCTAACTAGGTCGTTTACACCAAATTGGATTCCACTTGGTTGGCCCTCGTGGACTGTCTCGGCCATCGATGTGTCATCGACGTACTTCCAAAGGTTGACGCCATTGACATTGAAGCTGGGCGTTTTATTGGCTCCTCATAGAATTCTTTGATGTTGGTCAAAACGAGATCCAGAGTCTGATTTCCTCGAGTATGGAATTGGACAATTTGTTTCAGCTTAAAAGCGTTCCTAAAACTCGAGGTATCGAGTCTGTTAAAATCCCCCATGATCAAAACTCCACAATTTGAAAAACGCGATTCAATTGTAGACATTGAGTCGTAGAGATAGAACAAGATCTCAGAGTCAGAAACGCCTTTGTCTGTCTGTGGATGGTAAACATTGGCAATGATTATACAAGATAATCTCCTAGGGAGGCGCGAAGGTCGTAATTGAAGCCAAATTGCTTCAATTTTATCATCATGTAGATCTTCTAAAACGGTATACTTCAGCCCTTTCTTGATGTAGGTACAAACGCCTCCGTGTGCAACGTCTATCCTGTCTCTTCTCACTAAGTTATACCCAGGAATACAGACGACATTGTCGTGAATGTGGTCGCGCAACCAGGTCTCTGTTATGCAGGCAATGTCCAAGTTTGCATTTGTAATAACATCAGAGACTTCATCCACTTTGGGGGCCAAAGACATTACGTTCGACAATAAGACAGACGGAACGTAGACTTTCCTCGCTCCTTGTTGGTTTTGATGTGATGGAGAAATGGTTATACAATTAGCCATGTTTCGGTGTCGCCGGGAGCTTCGTGAATGATTGATACGGTTGGTTAGCTGCGCTTCGATGGGATAGCGACATCTGTTTGCTCTTTCCCTCACTCGGCGGCCGCCTCTTATCCCTCTAAAACAGGGCCACATGCGCCTAACATCCTTGCAAAGATTTCGAAAACTGATAAAACTCCATAAGACTTAAAAATAAAAACAAATTTTCAATAAAATTAGCGGAGCCAAAAAGTGCAGCCAAGCACGGCGCATTTACATAAGCATATTGTTCATATTTAACAGAATATCGTTCATTACTTTCAAAAGTGCTGTTTCAGTGCTGTGATTTCTTCTATAAGGTGACTGGCAACTGGGTATAAGTTACTACAAACCAGGTGACCATGAATCTGATTGAAAGCAGCCCTTTCAATGAGTTTAGACACAAAACACAAGTTGCTCACTGAACGGAAGTTCTTTAAGATGACATCGAGACCGCGTTTCTTTAACAGTGGAAAAACTAAAGCCTCTTTCCAAATTTTAGGAAAACGCCCAAACTGTAATGAGTTGTTTACGATTTTTGTGAGAACTGGGAGGAGATCCTCAACCAGTGTGGATGGATAAGCTGTTTAACATCTCGAACTGATAGCATCGTAAAAGTAGGGAATGATGGCGCAGTCTCATCAAGAACAGCAGACAGAGCGTCATCTTCTGGACGTCAATCAGTTTCATAGTCTCATCAAGAACAGCAGACGGAGTGTCATCTTCCGGAAGCGAATCAGTCTGCTGAGCAGCAGACGGAGTGTCATCTTCTGGATATGAATCAGTCTGCTGATTGATGTCAAGCTGTGTGCTGATAGTATCTATCTTCTGAACAAAGTATTTCCCAAGTCGTTAGAGAAAGTTCTACTGTCCAGATTAGGTGGGACAACATCATCCATTGTGCGGTTAAATAAGCGCTGACTTGCATGGAATAGTTTCTTTTGATAAACACTATTATCGTCTATAAAGTTGCTGTAAAACTCCCTCCGAGCCTTGTTCATAAGACGGGTAGTAACATTACGTTTTGCTTTAAAAGCAGCAAGATCGGACTCTAATCGAGATTTCCTCAACCTCTTTTCAGCCTTCCTTCGTTGACGCTTCCCCTGATCTCCTGACTGAACATGGAACACGAGGTCTCTGAAAGATTGTCCGACGAGTGTCAGGCGTGCGGAATTTCGCTTTTATAAGAACGATTTTTATGACTTAATGCAGGTCCTGGGTTTTCTAGAGACATTTACGTGCTACAATGGATTGACTACTCCGGGTATGTATAGAGGTATCCGTTCAGAGAGTGTTGATTGTAAAGTATTGTTGTCTCCATAAATCGAGTTGTCGTTAACCGTATAATGAGTGTTCATTAGACTAGGGCTTCCTTTTAAATGTTTAATCTTCATTCATCTCCACACAATACATCAGATCAAACAAAACTGGTAAAGAACTTGTAACAGAGAATTGACAAAAAACAGTTAAACAAATACCTAGCTCTTATCAAAGCGGGTAAATGGTCAATTAAGGACACATAGACAGCCATATACATAGCAGTGCAAAGCTTCGTTAGAATGGTTAGAGGACGTCCAACAATAGTACAAAATATACATTTCGCCAAATCCAGTCCCTAAACCAAGGGCAGTATAAATCAAAAAAAGTCACAAAGATATTAATCAAAATCTTTTCTTCAAGGTCCTTATGGAAAGCAGTGTTCCCACCATGATACTCCGACTGGAATTTTGTTAAAGTACTATTCCCAAATTTTTGCTAGATTTCTATTGACAAATCCACTTTTTAGGGTTCACTTGGCCTGCCTGTTTAACAAAATGGCCAGACTGTTTGATCCTATGAAAAGCGAAGTTCGACTCTTGATCATCCAACAAACACTCTTTAGGAAGATCGCTTGAGTTGTAAATCAATAGAGTTTGAAAAAGAAAATCTGTTCAATATAGACTAAGATTACCCAAAGGTGGGTTCTTATTGGAGGCAAAAAAGTTCAGGAGTGTTTGGGAGGGCTTTAGCTACATGTAGAATAAATGTTAAGGTTATGGTTTTCTTAACTTCATAAGAAAGATTATTCTGCCAATTACTGTTATACCGTATTTTGGTTTGGTGAAACTTTAAGATTTCGTTCTGTCTCTAACGATGCTTTATATCGACGTCTTTAAATGTGTCACGTAGTGTTTATCAGAGTATAGAATTATCTAAAGAGTTCTTTAAGTTATAGCTGGAATGACAATTTACTACGTAACCTCCTGTTCAGCCACTTTTTTCTACGTTTCGTCTTATGAGAGCTCAGCTTGAAGGTTTTCCTAAAACTTATTAAGCAGTTTATACAAGAGCAGCTTGCTGTTCCTGTAGTCTTATGAACTATAAAAAGCAAACGCAAACACTACTGCGTGTGTTATAAGCCTTTGGTATTACATTTTATCCTGTTGCTGGGCCTTTGCTATTGTCTGCTGAAAAGCGTTCAATATTCGGTGAAATTTTCTATCCATCATTCGTTCCAGCTGGACTATTTTCTCTTCTATTTCTCTTCGTTCAACCATTGTCGGCTTCTGGATGTGCATTCTTCCCACGTGTTCGGTTTTTACACTCTTCACAACCCTGGTCGTCCTTTCAAAGAACGATTCGACATTTTTTCGCTGCTGGATGTCCATTTCACAGAGGTCCTCTGTATCTTGTAGGCCCATATGATCTAAGGAACATTCTGTCTCCGACGATTTTGTTGGCACAATGGTTTCCTGATCTATTCCTCTGTCAAAAGATGATTCAATGGTTTTTCGCTTCTGGTTGTCTCTTTCGCACAGGTCCTCTGTATCTTGTAGGCCCATATGATCTAAGGAACATTCTGTCTCCGACGATTTTGTTGGCACAATGGTTTCCTGATCTATTCCTCTGTCAAAAGATGATTCAATGGTTTTTCGCTTCTGGTTGTCTCTTTCGCACAGGTCCTCTGTATCTTGTAGGCCCATATGATCTAAGGAACATTCGATCTCCGACGATGTTGTTGGCACAATGGTTTCCTGATCTATTCCTCTGTCAAAAGATGGTGCAATGGTTTTTCGCTTCTGGTTGTCTCTTTTGCACAGTTCCTCTGTATCTTGTAGGCCCATCTGATCTAAGGAACATTCAACCACCGACGATGTTGAGACTTCGATGACTTCTTCGGTTTCGGTACCCTTTGTATTTCTCTGCTTAAAAGTCGAAAAGCATCATTCATTCGCTGACAGGACAAGTAAAACTTGCTTTCGATTCCTTCCAAGGTGTCTAATATCGAATCACGCTCTTCACTCTGATGTCGATCGCTATCCTTAAATTGAGGGATCCTCACGATTTTATCCACTTCGTGACGGGAAGTCATCTAAATGAAAACAAACATAACCGTCTTTAATTATTGATTGTCAATGCTATTATCTACCTTCCCCGTATGGCGTTCCAGTGGCATTATAAACAAACTTTAAAATACAATAAATAGTGAGAATTCATTATTCCGTACAAATTAATATTGCAACAACATAAGAACGGAAAAAACTCTTCTCTTTCCCCAAAAATGCTAAATTCAAATGCTAGTTAAACCTTCATGCTCAACGTTCATCTAAACGTTGTAGGGTTCATTATTATATGGAAAGAAAATCAAGACACGCTGCTGAAGGTCAGAACCAGAGAAATATCTGAAACCTGATGGGAAGTTGCCTCGCCTGGAAAGTATTCTCAGCGATGTAAAATGAAGTGATGATGAAGATAACAAACCAGTGGCTAAAGACCACTGGACCCAAGGCCGCAACATATGTTCTAATTATATCACCCTTTATGATTTGCCCATTCATGCAGATAAGCGAAGAGGTATGTGATGAAGGACCTGTTTAGCTTAGTCCAGAACAGACATGAGAAAAAAGTGTATTCCCATAACGGTGGGTGAAAGACTTCCATCAAGGTGTTTTAAAAAACTTTCCAAATACAAAGACCTGGAAACAGGAATGGCACGAGTAGTGTAAATGAAAACGAAAGGAATCTATGTGGTCATAGGCGCATTAGGCGTCATTAGGAAAGGCTTCTGATTCAGTGACATTGCAGATGTCAACCTGCCGGACATCTGAAGACTGAGCACTTCTTGGAAAAGTGCTTACTTTAAGAAGGGTTCTAACTGAACACCACTCTGAAACCCATGATGATGATGATGATGATCATAGCGGTGGTGGTGGTGATGATGATGATGATGATGATGATGATGATGATAATGATGATGATGTTAACAATAATCGTATTAATCCTGCCCTTCCCCAAAAATATACCACAGCAAGAAACAGGATTGTTTGATGCTTGCTCCGTTTTCTGGAAATGGCGTTTGTACAATCAACAAACTTTGGCGGCCACATAGAAGGTTTTCATCGTTTCAATTCAATATCAATTACAGCCCCTAAAACGAGGCCCTACCCAGCAAAGGTGAGGGCAAAAATCTGCACGAGGGTCAGAAGACCAGACATAGTAGAAGAACAGAGAACTGGCATAGGGTGTAAGATTATCGTCATTATTGATGTGGAAACACCCGGTGGGTTATAGCAGGGTATTGGCAAAGGAAAGCGAGAAAACTGACTAATATCTGAAAAGAGGCAATAAACAAAGTCGTGGTGATATCTGTTGTGGTAGGAGCATCTTGAACGAACTCTAATCACTTTGAAAAATTGAAGAGAAAAGAGCATGTAACTTGGGAGGTTAAGGCTTTGCCAGCAAAGCGGAAAGTCGTTGGGGTACAAAAGCCAAAACTCCCTTGTTAAATCCGCGCAGATGCGATGCACACAGGCAAACATGGTTCCTTTACAGAAAGATAAAATGAAAATAAATTCGTTAACCTTTGCCAGCACTCTTAATCCTGTGTGTCCCATACCAATGTAGGGATACAATTTCCCATTGTGAGTGTACTCCATTAATATCTCATTTTCATGCTCAGTGATCGGCCTTCCGTTTAAATAAAACACGATTGGAACTTTCCCATCTTTTGCCAAGTCAAACTTGACTGTGCAGCCAATCAAGTCCCCTCTGTAGGCCATGGCGCCTGCAAAGAAAATTTGGAAAATAAGTTTAATTACTTGGCCAAACACTGCGGCCTGACAATGGCGAGGAGACCTAAATGAATTATATGAAGCGCTTTAAAGCTTTGGCTAATTAGACCTCGGTATTTGTAATGCTAAGCCTCGTGCAAACGGACTTAACATTGTTGGCCAACAACTCTCAACACTCTGGGAAGTTAGATATTGCGTCCGTCCGTTACCTTGTTGCATGTTGTTGCTGCTTTCCAGTTTACCTTTTAGTATAGTACGCTTTCGACAGTTGTTGAATGCGAGTCAAGGAATAAACCTGTTTAATTTCCTTGCTCTTCAGTGGATAGAACCCGCCCGTCTTTGGTTGGCCATAGCTAAAACTAATGCTAATTAAAAATTAAACCAGACTTACCTTAAGTTAAAGATTGATTGTAAGTGTATCGATCCAGTAGAGATACGTAGGGATTACGTGAGATTGAGCACGTGACCTGCAAACTGCATATTTTAAACGAGGCGGAAGGAACAGATTTAGATTTATGTTGGTGATGCCATATAGGTGGGTAGAACTTGGTCATCTAAAAGACTGAAGTATCAACTTTGCTTGTGGATGATGCAGCTCGGGTACTGTGCGGTGTGAACATGGCCATATCAACACCTATATTTCAGTTGTAAGGTGATCTTATCCTATGGTGCAATAGTAGACTTACTCACCACTATGTGTGGTTTAGTAAAGCCGATAAACAGGGCAGTTTGATTTCGCCTGAGTTCCCCCGAGTCCTCTTAATATAAGCAGCAATAGTGGAAACTATGCTAAAATCAGGTTCCTCTGGCTAAGCAGTAAACTCCAATGCTGCTTGATGTCTTTCTGGTTTGGTTTATGTATAGTCTGCAAACGTTGGGCATAAATTAGAACCACAGTGTGACAGTTTTGAGTGAAAGGTTTTTAAGGGACAATCGATCAACAGGTGACAATGTCCCACACAATTTTGTTCCTTGGAAGAGCAGGGCGATTCTCAAACACATCTTGATGAATCGAACAATTACAAAATATTGCGTCTGTATACATAATGCACGATAATGCAGACCTGGCTGTATTAATGCAACTTTAACCCAGACCTTTGGTAAACAGAGACGTTAAGAAATCAATTACAGTTCCAAAGTGGGCGAGCTGTGATCCCTGTTCCTTTTACTAGAAAGTCCAACCATTGTTTGATGAAGGGACCAGGTTGTTGTTGTACGGATGCTCTCCATGAGGACATGAGAATGTCTGTAGCTTGCTTGAGTGTGACCCTCATTGTGAGGTCTTTTAATTACAAGTTCATCAACTCTGTGCCAAAAATGACCATCTAAAGAAGGTGATGAACGGTTCTCCCGTTAGCAATATTTCGTTTAGTGAGTTTTCTCCCAAAGATTCCAGCGTTGCATTCAATTTTGATTGCCCACTCGGACGCTTTTTTTTGAGCGACTGTTTGTATCATTCCTAGAAATTTTTCCATTAATTCCTCGGTATTTGAACCGATTTGATTTACAGCAGAGCCCATTGTCGAAGTGTGTCTTTCCAGGTTGGGTTTAGTGATTCTGTGAAGTCTTTGACTTTACGCGTGACTGTTCGTTCGGCTACTGTCTGTTGCAGCGGAAGCGCCATCCTGATTCGTCTTAGCCCTCTTGCCTCTTGATCTCGTTCTCGCCTCCGAAGCCGACCTTTCGAGGCCGGGAATTAAAGAATTGCAAGTTTTTTTCTTCTGTTACAGGACAGGTGATGGAAGGAGTCGTTTCGTACGTGTGCGCGCTGCTTGGATAAGTTGATTTTCCTTCTCAAAATAACCGAGTACCTCGTACGGTTTGCCAGTTGCTCATGCGGTGTGCTGGTCACGTGTTCAATCTCACATGTAGTATCAATTGGTGCATGAGGTAAAATCTTGTCCGTGGGACTCGTGATTTTTTCGCAACCTCACTCTTGTGAGATGGTAATTATTAAATCGTTCTCCTTTTCAAATCTAATTTGGAAAATTTATAACATATGGAAGGAAGAAATTTCATTGGTCTTGTCATACAATAGACGTTTTTACGTAAAAATTCCCTTAAGTCTCTAAAACTAACTCGAAAACTGAAAGGATTAGTTATCCTCCAAGTTAATTTTCTTCAGCTCTTTTTCCTTACCTTCGTACTCTCTTCCCTTTGTAGGGTTGTTTGCGTCAAATATTTTTCCCTCATCAATGTGATATCCCACGGATCCTTTTAGCCAACCCGGCAGGGCATGATTTCCATAATATTCACCAACAACACCCAATCCTAAAAGCCGTCTTTTTCCAGTTTCCTGAATAAGAACCTAGATAAAAAGATGTAAGTAATAACTGATAGAAAAAAATACTAATGCTTTCTGGGTGGTAGATTCACAGCCACATCAAATCTGACTTGAAATAACATTTAAACGATCAGAATCTATATTTCAGCTGAAATTTTTGTTAAAAATTGTATCCACTCTTTTTGAAAAATACTTTTCCTGGCTTACTTAAATACGACGTACCTCAAAATGGGGCGAATCTGGAGAAAAGGGAACTTGTATCTTGCACCGTGATATTCAGCTCGATAGTTTATATCTTTGCATATGCCGCAAAGTTTGCTTCCTTCACAAATTAAAAGACATCCTTGATTCTGATTCCCTTTTTGCCAGGCCTGGAAGAAGCGCGTTTATTTATTAAAGTCGGTCAACCCAAAACTACTTATTTACGTAATATTATTCCGTACTTAATAATGTATATTGAAAGATTTCTTCAATGTGAATTGGCAGAGTTCAAATATGCAGTGTTTAGTATAAACAGTGCAAAACGAGGAAACATAATGCACTGAAAAAAAAATGAAATAAAATGCAAATATCTCAGAGAAAGGAACACTGTGATTGGCTAAAAAATAATATAAGGACCAATCAGGTGCCGCAATCTGCTGCCAGACACCTTTAAGTTTGCGAATGGACAAAGGCATCTAATAATTAAAAGAACCCACAGCCGAAATTAATTCTACAGCCATACATCAAAAGGGTCGTTGCCATACGATCCGTTTTCAAAAGATTAACATCGAACGAAATGTAAATGGGACGACGATGCCGATCGGAAGTGAAATTTTCCCGCGAACCTTCTGGGTAACGTTTTTCAAAACGTCGTCCAGCCTTCGTCGACGACTAATCATTTTTCGCTCTGATGAAAACGTCCTAAACTTTTTCATGCTGATAATCATCTGTTTCCACCTTTTGTTATAATGACTGTTTGATGTATTATTTGCGGACCAGCAGAAGTCAAATGTTTAACAGTTTAGCTATTTTTAACAGACTAAAATGACTTTCTTTCAGAAGCATCCGAAACCATGGCAGGCCACATTTCTACAGCCGAGCAAGAACTCGTTCAAAAGAAATGTAAGTTTTTCTGTACTGATTTCTTTAAGGAGAATTTTGGGATATTTGAAGTCATGTTCTTCTTATTTTAGACCTGCATGTCACTGTGCTAATTTGAAGTTGCACTTCAAGATAATAAAACTTCAGTTTTGCTTTAAAAATATATATTTTCGTGTTCTTTTGACAGCGAGTAAGTGCAGGTATTTTGTTTGGACGGAAGACCATGATGTCTTGATGCTTTGCGAAGCTGTAACGAGCGAACCTTACAATTTTAAACCGAAAAGCACCGAAAAGTATGGGAAAGCATCGCAGCCTATTTGAATTCTCTGAAGACTCCATAATTCAGGGTTGCAGCAAGGGCAGTGAGAGATCGATATGGACTCCTGATCTCCCGGCACAAACTAAAGCAAAGAGAAGAAGAGAAAGCCTTTGGGATAGATGTCCCCGAGCTCACAGAGCTTGATGCCTTGCTGGAGGAAATTCGCGAGCGAGAGAAAAGCGCAGAAGAAAAGAGTGACGCCTTGAGAAACGAGAGGAAGGCAAAAGATGAGAAAGAAAAAGCTAAAGCAGAGGAAATCAGACAGGCGGCTCTTCAGACAATTGCAATTAGAAAGAGCGATGATAGTGGCGAGAAACCAAAAAAGGCTAAATTGAGGAGGAGCACCTCTGATGCAATCGGATTTTTGGCCGAGAAGTCAGAGAAAGAGAGAGAATTGAAAAAGGAAGAGTTTGCCATCAGAAAAAGAGAGCTTGATCTAGCAGAAACCAAACAAGAGGAGGCTGCGCAGCAGCAACAGACCATGTTCTCAGCGCTGATCAACACGATGCAGCAACAGCAGCAGCTTCAACAGCAAAACCTTCAAATTATGCTTGACCAGCAAAACAAGGTATTTATGGCAGTGATGGAAAATATAAAAAAGCATTAAGCTCGAACCTTATGACTGTGGAAGAGCCCTGAACTTGTTGAGTTGACTTTTGTTATGACTTTAGTTATCTTCAAGAGCATTGTTGATGGATGTAATTATATTTCTTTCTATAGAGAGTTTTGTAAAGTTTCTAGAAGAAATAAAACATTGTTTTTGCTAATAGACAGATGTTTTTTTCTGTACAAAGGGGCCTAAATGCCCAAACTTTCCCCTAATGTACAGTCACTAAATGCACAAAATAAATCTTAAGAATAGTATTTATAGCTGGGTCTATTTTTTTTCTATTGTTTGATTAGCTGAGCTTTTATGTAATTAGCTCATAGTATTTCTTACATTTAGTGAGTCCACTCTAGAAATTGAGCCAATTTCGAGCATATGCATCATTAAGGCAAAATCTCTAAAAGAAGCATGGGTATCTTCATTCAGTCATGTTAGATTGGGGTAGCTTTCACTCAGGGTTGACTCTGTAAAAATTCATTAAGTCACCACGGTAAACGTCCTGGGTTAGTGCCAGCCCAACCGCCAACAAACAGGCCCCTGGGCTCCTATATTTGTAAAATGTTTGATGAAGGAAATCCAAAAAAATAGCCTGACTCTGCAATGTTATGCTTAATTTTTTTGGATAAATCTCTTTTATTTTATATTTATAAAATTAATTTAAGTTAATTAACCACAGTTTTCTGAAAAATGGAAAATAAAGTTGGGAAATAAATCAATAGTTACAATAACATTTCTTGAAAAATAGAAAAATTTTAGAAACAAAATTGTGCTTAATTTTAGTATAATTCATTTTCTCTTTAAAAAGTTCAATGGTGTGAGAAATAGTCTTAAGTTATCAGCATACAAATATCTACCATGTTTAACTGCAGTTATAAGGTTTTGATACATATTTTATCAAAGGCATTGTAAACTGAGCAATAGTGTGGTTTCCTAGCCAAAGTATGTGTCAAGAGTAGGTGGCCTAAGGTCAAAAAATTCTGAGGTCATGTTACCATACAAGCATGTCTTTGCATTACGCAGTATGATAGAAACAACATAGATCTTTCCAAAACTGCTGAGGAAAAGCTTCAGATCTTTTTTAAAGTCATTAAACTTAAACGAGTTGATTACATCTCCGAACAGCCATTCAACAGAACTTCTAACAGCACTCATCTCTGTATTGTACAATTTGTGGCCTCTGGGTCCTAGCCACCTAAGGGGGTGGCAGGGTCAAACACAGACTGCCTGGCCAGCTGAATTGTAGGCAAACCGATGAAGGTCGTGTAGTAGCTGTGAATCAGCAAGCATTCCTGCATCATGTTTTCTTCCTTCTAAAAATAGGTAGGTGATGGTAGGTATCAGTGTAAGAGTAAAGGCTGCGGACAATTGGGTTGCATAAGCTGTTGATTATATGCGTACTTCAGAAACTTTTTCCTAATTTCATATTGAGTTTATATTTATTTCAAGGGGGGAAGGGGGACAGTCCCCTCTTCTCTCTGGCTATGCTCCCAATAAACTGTTGGGGTGATCTCACCTTGGTAATCATTATTGAACAAGAAAATCAATAAATTTAGCCTGTCGTATAGCCTTGAAAAATGTTTCATTTTTTTTCATTTTTTTTCCTTTTTTAAAATAAGTGCAAGGTCTACAAAAATAAACATTTGGTCACATCCCTGCTTTAAAGCTGGTGGCCTGTACTGTTTTGTAACTTACCAACTGGGCCATATAGATTTCCGATCAAGCCATTTGGCAAAGCAATGGAAATTTCAGGGCATGAACCCTTTTATGCCCATTGTAAAGAAGTCGCTGATGTTCTCCAGGTCTTGATATAGGCCTAACGGTACCGTCAATAAACCCAAAATAATTGGGCAGTGGGGCTCCCCTGGCTGTCACAGCATCAACATAAGTCTGCAGGTTGACAGGACTAAGGACCTCGTGATTCCAGTTAAGTACTCTATTCCCGTGAACATTATACACAAAGTCAATCATTTGATTGGTGATCATGCTAAGAACTGGAACAGGTTTAGCGAATCTATGGACCATGTCTGCATATCTGCATGGGTAAGAAAGCAGCTTTAGCAGCATGCACAGACCTTCTAGTCCATCACAAACGGAGCGCTGACTGCAGGTTATCGTGTCAGGGATTGGCAAAACTTCCTTCAGAATTCGTATATCTCGTTTTCCAAAGCGAAACTCTGCAAAACTCTCAGACTTATCACGCTCTTCCATGTCAAAAGGTGCGTACGAATCGCACGGAAAGTCGAGGTTTTTCGATGCATAGAGGTCGTACAGAACAACAAATTCATCATCATTGATAAAGCCATCGTTGTGATTAATTAGAAGTAGATTTCGGACGTTTTTGAAAGCCATATAGCTAGAGCTACTTGTCAGATAACCAAAAATCGTCGTCTCCAAAAAACAACACACTGCTTAACTTTCGTTTTTCCCGCCGAGAACGAAAGATTCGACCCAATCCTCCTTGGGTTACAAACGTCGTCGTCATGTATTTCGTTGTCGATGCTTAAGGTCCCTATTAACTGAGATCACACTTACTAGGACTTAAGGATGCTGTTGATGTACGAAAACAAGATGGAGTATTGAATAAGATTCCTTGTGAACACGGTAAAGTATACATTGGCGAGACGGGAAAGTGGATGTATGAACGGATCAAGGAGCACAATTGAGATATACGGCTTTCGCGAACTCAAACTTCAGCTGTTTCCAATAAGACCAGGCATTATCTGCTCTGGGACAAGGTTAAGTTCATTGACCGCATATATGCGGAGCTCTCGCGCGCGAAGTGCGCGCAGCGGAGCACCATTGGTAAAAAAAGTGGTAAACCACCCATCCGAGAAAATTTGGTAGTCACGTGACCGTACACCGACCGACCGCCCGACTGTCCGTCTGCACCACAGACATATCAATGTAAAATAATTCAATCAATAGGTATGGCAACCCAAATGCAACTCAAGGTTTTATTTGGAAAGAAATCGCATGGCCGCCCGGACTTTTAGAACGAGAAAATAATATCAAAGTCCTGTCTTTTTCGACCCTATTTTTGATGTTCACACTCACGTGGATAACAGAAAAAGAGCTAGAGCGAGTGATTAAAAACAAAAGAGACGAATTTTGTAGGAAGAAAAACATGAAAATTCAAAGCGGCTGTGAGACAAAGAGAAAAGCTAGCGGCCAGCAAGGTGAAAATGAGCGGCAGTGAAAAATAAAAGCGAACATGAACACAGAAGACAAAATATTGGGTAAGCACATACCACAATTCCTCCATAAAAATAATGTATAGTTAGGAAGTTTGAAGCTTTAGTCCTACAAAACAGCGTTGTAGTTGTGCAAAACAACGGCAAAAAAGACAAAAAGCGTGCTGCATGTGCAATTTGTTGTTTTGTTAATTAGATCTATTGATCTTGATTCCATTTTCATCGGCCGAATTTATACTAGAGAGAAATTATCCGTCTAGACGGATTATTCGTCTCAGACGGATAATCCGTCTCTAGTATAAATTCAGTGCTAAGACGAATTACGGAGCGAAATTCGTCTTCAAATTTATACTTAGACGAATTATCCGTCTAGACGGATGACTCGTCTCTAGTATAAATTGGACCATTGCCCGCCTCGTTTAGCACTACACGATTTAATTTCTTTTGTTTACAAGTATTATTAACCACAGCTTCGCTTTTAGCCCTGGCTAAATCTATATATTCTTAAAGGGTGATCATACGACTTTTCTTGTTCAATTTAGACTGAATTATTTGCTCTGGTGCGTTTTCCAATTACCATACTTTTTGAAAAACATACTCGTGCAAATTAATTCCAAATTTCAAATTGATCTTGAAGTCGTATGATTGCCTGTACAATTTTCTGCAAACTTGTGCGGTGGAGGTTCACAAACTCTTGTAAGAAAAGAAATTAGAACAATCCAATTTAACAACGAAAAATCATAATAAAATTCATGTCCATTATGAGATGGAAGCATACCTTGGGACCAGTGGGAAAAATGGAACCATTTATTCCACTTGCTGCAAATGTTTTGTAAGCAATCTGATTTACCATTTGCCTGTTTCGCTCAAGTTCTTGAAGAACGAAGTCCATTTTTCTTTCATCTTAATAGCAAAGAACAAAAATAAAGGTGCTTAATTTACTTCCGCAGACGTTGCGTTTGAGCAAACAGAGTACCTGCATACTGCAAGGCATAAAGTAAAGGTAATTAGAATATAAAGCGAATGAACTTAATTATCGATCACTCAGTATTGGGTAAATGGCAGCGGACTCGGAACTGGTGAAAATAAATAAACGAAGATGAGCATTAGTCATGAGCTTTTTGGCGGGAAGCTGTTGAGGATTATACGTACTAAAACAACATTTTTTACCTGTCAGAGGAAATGAGTAGCCATAACTGGAAAGGTACTCATTTTTGTAGTTTTTCCACAACTTCATTCAAAGCCTTTCCTTTTTTCGGGAAATTCTAAAAATGAATAAGCTAGAGTTAGAGAATCCAAATGAATAAATAAATAACCAAGTCTAGCTGCCCAAAGGTAAGTAGGCCAAACTGCTTTACAAAAAGCCTCAAAACGCCTAAAGGATACAAAATAAATATTTTACAGGCAGAATTTAGGGTTAGCTAGTTCTGATTGAATATCATTTTTTGGTCTATTAGGCAATAAAGGTGTTTGGCACCCCGTTGATCTAACGCATTCCTTCTATGGTGTCCTAGGGTACTGCCATTTACATAGGTAACCTGAAATTCCGGAAAGTTAAATGGTTCGGCCATTCAGTTTGGGAAGCTCCAGATAATAATGGACTCTAGGTTGAGACGATGTAATTTTACCAATTTGTTCGGACTCTATTCAGCTGATTTGGATAGACTTCGTAACGGGTCGTTCTACCACCACGTCAAATTTTGTAGTTTAATGTACATGCACAAAATTTTTTACTGATGGATTTATATAAATGGACGGTACACTCTTAGTTAAAAGTTACTCACTCGACTACTGAAACTGTTATTATCCTGTCGTCCGTCGCAGCAGCTGCTCGAACAGAGAAGGTACAACCGTTTTTATCCACAGAAATGAATTAGATATAAGGTTAAAGGGCTTTGGTATTGGATAATGATATGCCCCTGTATGTATGGATGGTAATGGCTTTCTTGAACGACCATTCTTTCATGGGTTATCCTTAAAAACGAGAAAAAGATTATCTTAATTAGCTGCTATCTTAAAAGAAATCTTGAACTTCAAAGTATAATTTTAACACATTACGGTAGATTTCACCACAAGCGAATCCTGCAGCATGTAGAATAAAGCTAAGAACAAACGGTCATCTTACATTCATCCTACAAAAGGTATACTATGTTCATTCAAAGAAGGATATAAAACTTCAATTTACGCCAAATAACAAAGAAATGATTTACTCACCAACAAATGCTTAACGGTATAAAAATTACGTACTGATTATATACGTACATTTATTTCTCAACTAGTTTATAGATACTGCGCACAAATAATCATGGAGACAATACAATTAGCTGAATTAGGACATAATAGAACTCATATCCCATCTTTAGCAGTCTCTCTTTTTTCTTAGTCCGTCTACTGAAACGCGTGAGACACGAAAATGATCACACGCGTTGTGGAAGGCACGAAACGGGAGAGGCGCGAAAAAAGTGAGGGCAACGTATAATTCATGTGCGCTGGCTATGGAAGCATTCGCTATTTTTTCTTCTCGGGCTCGCCCTCGTTTCTCGCGTGAGCACTCCTCTTGCTAAATCTGAAGAAAAAGAGAGACTGCTCGTAGTCTAATCTTGGTTAGAGGAGGAGTTGAAATCGAGACGCTGAGTTAAACGAGGACTGTAGAACTCCTTTTACTCGGAAAGATTAGTGAAAGGGTATCTTTCGGACCTGGTGACTCTGGTAACCACTCAGCCACGCTGGCTTCCGATAATTAGTGGCACGACTGCCCATAATATCTGTCTCCTTCTCAAGCTGATACCATGTGCCCGACATTTTCTATTTTGCTGCGTGCACTACAAATATTTTTCTTTCGAAGACAAATGTGTGAGAAAATGTCTCAAAGATTTCAAAAGATGATCTTCGGTCGACCTTACCTTCACTCGTTGGTAAGTGTTAGATAGTAGGGCTATCATCATATTAACGAGAAGAATGACTCCCATGATAAGAAAGGCTGCAAAGAGGAAGTGCGCGATAGTGGCTGATGCACTATCCACTGATTCTAAACGGTCCAGCGTCGCTATTCCAAGAAAAGACCAAGAAAGATGCTTCACCACGCTCCACCAACTGATGGATGATAACGAAAAAATATTTTACAAAATGTTAACTTTTGGAGCCGAGTTACAAGCTGTCGCGTTCGGTGCCATCATTGTACCTTTTTTTCCTATGTGAATTCAGTCATACAGCTCCAGAATTTCGACACCGCGGTCTTGAATTTGCAGCCCTATACAAAGGCATCGTGATGGCCCAAGAAGCTTGTGAGAAATGAGTAAAGGGAGATCTTTCGGATCAATTTAGTTTTCTGGGAAACTTCCCAACTAACCCGCCTTCCCTAAGCTAACATTAGCACGTACTTCTCACTTAGGGAAAAATGTTGGCTTAGGGGAGGGGTAAGTGGTCAGTTTCCCGAGAAACCTAAATCGATCTGATCTTTCTACGATAATTTCAATGTCCATAAATCGCTAGAAATTAAGAAGAACCAGGTGGTGGCTTATTTTTTTCTGAAAAAAATTAAAGCCAAGAAAAATGAGTTCATACGCTTTTACCAGGTTATTTCAATCAGACGCCCATGACAATAAAAAGAAAAAGTAAGTGAAACATAATAACTATAAAATAGCTTTTTTGACATGTGCTGTTATATACCGGTGACGGAGAATCAAAAACTTACTTACCAAACTAACCCACTGGACATTTTGCAGGCACTATAGTAAAACAAAAACAAGGTGATGATACATCTATAGTTTACCAATCTTTTGTTTTCTCTCCTTAAAACGTACCGAACAAGAGGGGAAGATCAAGTGTAACCATTCAATTTAAATGTATGCCGAGACAACATAGCTGTATTAAAATTCGGCAGTTATTTCCTGCTGTAAGTCTTACTGTATTTGACCGTCAACACAAGTAGTCTCGTTAGTTCGATCTATGAAACTTTGATTCGCATTCCAAAAGAGACAGGGTTCGTGAGTGTCTCGAGAACTCTTGAATTTTTGGGCCTTGAAAGTCGTTGAAATTCTCCTTCATTCGTTTTGGTCCTAAAAAATCTTGAATTTTAATTGAGGGCCATTTTCCATTCTCCAAAAAACTTTGGGAAATACCAGTTTAAAGCAAACGGAGTAAATTCGGCGTTGAGGAAATGAAAGTAAGGTATTGACTCACAATGAATTTTCATACAAATGGTTACCTTTTGGAGAACAAAAGCCCATCCATTATTATCGAAATATATTCATAGTTTATTTGGAAAGTGAGTTAAAAGTAATAAATTAGGTCTTCGAAATTTAAAATTGTGGTACCTCAAAGACCTTGAAAAGTCCTTGAATTTTATATGGGAAGAAGTGTACGAACCCTGAATTTATAATATAGCGATGTAAGAAACCTGATGAAACACGTAGAATACTAAAATTGGAAATTATAAACTGTTAAAGCTGGTTTCTACACAATATTAGGATCTCTAAAAAAGAAAGTTCTTCAAGTTCAATTAATAGGGGAAACAGCGCTTCAACAATTGCTGAGATGGCTGACAGTTCTATTTTGAAAATTGATTTTCATAAAGTGTCTAACGTATAGTTAAGTCATAATCTGAAAACTCGTTTCCCACTGTGGGAGAAGAAGCGGCGAACACTTATGGTTATACTCGGAAAAAACAGCGTACATTTCGCGACAAAATAGCAAACAAAAGATGGGAAAAGGAACTCTTTCGCCAGCCCTTTCTTCATTTCCCAACCAAAGATGTTAATCAAGTAACTGCTTTAATTTCTGCAAACCAAAAGAACTTTGCCTGCATTTTTACGGGGGCTATGGAGTGTGTTGCTGGAGGGTGTTTTATGTTAAATGTATGTTGTACTCACGATTCGGTGTCATTGTTTTTAGAAATGAATGATCTTTCTGCCATAAACACTTTTGTGATCGCGATAGAAAACGCTAAAATAGTTGCAGTAATCTGCCAGAAGATGGTCACCACGTCACCAAAAATGTGAAACAAAGCGATCTGAATGTCGCCAATCCCCTTGATGGTTTCCAACACGTGGCCAAAAACTCGAAGAGTAAGGAACATGGTGTTAAGACCGTACAGATATCCAGCGATTACGAGAACTCGATTGTCAGTGGTCGATTCAGACAAGGCCCACGTGACTACTCTTAATTGAAAGGTCACCGTGTAGTTCAAAAGGGTGATGAAGTCCAAAATGTTCCATCGATCACTACAGGATTAAAATATAAGATAAGGATTTCTTGACAGTTAATCTTTCTTTTTTGGTCTCTTTTTCCTCGTTTTCAATCTGTTTTTCATTCTCAACATAAATATCTTATCTTATCTTTTAGTATTAAAAGACAATTCAACTACCGAATAGAGATACCTATTGTAGCCATTGTTTTAGAGTTTGAAAACAATAGCTACACTTGTAAATTACTCTTGAAAAAAATATTCTCAAACACACCATATCTAACACGAACATTGACAGTACTGATCAGATTTGAAAGTCGGACCAGGGTATGTGTTAATGGAAGAAGTAGGGTTTGCTACCTGAAATATTTGTTGCATCTATGTAGAATAATGTCTACTTTTGTTGGCGTCGCTTCTTTTTCATTTTTCCCTTCTTCTTTCTTCTCTTCTTCCTCTTCTTCGCCGCAGATTTGAGTGAATCCCGTTCGATTCTTCTCTTTAGTCTTTTCTTCCCGCTTTGACCCCTTAGATTTCTTAGCAGTCACAGGCGTACACATCTGATGTTCTTTGACACCTAAGAACTGTCGACTCTCCATCAAGATCCTTCCCAAGAAGAACACCATTATCGTCCACTCTAAACCGCTGAACGGGATGCTTGAGGTCTCAAGACAAAGAGCAAAATGCAAACCAAGCAGCGCCAGGTAGCTGAGGGTATCTCGAATGAACACAAAGTAGGGAGTTGTGAAGTACTCTCGGTAACTTTCTGCAAACACCGAAAGAGATGCTGCAATCATCATTTTCTTCATTTAGCATCAGCTTCGCCATGACTTTAAAAGTTAAATATTGTACAGGAACATCAACGCCGCTAAGCCGCCAAAAGTGGAAAAATTTTTATTCACTGCGGGTTTGCCACGCTGACGCTCCCGCTAGAGTTTCTTGACCCACGTTTGGGTATAGGGGTGCAGCTGAGGTTTTAGCCTCTGAAGCTGTTTATAACATAAATAACGTTAAATACCTACACTCTGCATGTACTGAAGACAGTATACAGATTTTTTGAACCTTTCAATTTTGTCGTTCCCTACTTGAAAGCAGTGGTTCAGGTTTGAATCAGGGAAAGTCACATATTATTTTAGTAGTTCAATTTAGATACAAAGCAGCACACCCCAACCCTATTTCCAGGACTTCCTCTTCAGTTTAAAGGTGCACCCCTTAATGTAACTGATAGGTGTCTTGAGAAGTATCTATTTCAATCCGACAAACGACAAAAATCAAAAATCAAAATAAAACCTTTATTTTGAACCCAAAATAAGAAAAAGAAATGAACGAATGAATGAATAAAAAAAAGAAACCGTTCGTTATCGTTACTCACCAAACAAATCTTTTCCATAAAGGTCTGTAAAAAATAGAAAAAAAAGTAAGCAATTAAGAAGGTAAGGAAAAAGAAAGAAGCTCTGCGTTAATCTTTGGAATAAAAATCAAGAACATTAATATAAAAAGTTATAGTAACCGCAGTCCTGTGATATATTCCTCTTATACATCTCCGTATTATTCAATAAGAGAAGTATGGGGATAAACTTCACTTTCCCTTTATGATACAGTTTTTTAATTAACTTATCTGTCAAAATCTCTACCGTGTCAAAAAAAGCGAACTTTTTTTTTTTCAATTGGAAGCTTTGGAAGATTCCGTGTTCCGAAAACGTGTGTGGAAGCCGGGGAAAAGAATTCCTTGAGCTACTTTTAAAATTAGTGAATGGCAAGATGTTGAATGTGGTTACTGAATAGTACCTTAGCAAAAATAAAGCGGCGTTTTATTTCCCTGAGAGAAATTTTCTTGACTTGAGTGTTGAAGTCACAAATGTATAACTGGAGTTAAAGTCACGAATGTAATAAGGAGTAGGTCGAAGGCGGAAGGGTTCAGTGCGTAAGAACGTGTTAAATTACGTCCAGCTTTAAAATCGCAATACGGAAAGACCCGGAATAGGGTAAAAAATACATTGTAATTATAATTAAGATTATAGGTGCTATTTCAATGAAGGGGCATTTTTCCAAACGCAATACCACTTCCAAAAATTGATTCCTAAGTAGGCAAGGTGCACATGAAACGTGTGTAGGACCCCTTCCGCCCGTTACCGCTTTCATAATTTGTTAAACTTAACTGACAGCTATTTTCTTGCGCGAGGACGCATGATAATGTCAGCAAAATTAACAATAATAATGACCCACTCCTGATGTGATATTGGCGACTATTGTTACATTTGTGACCAATTACTCGCTACGTAAAGGCTCCTATTATTATTTCTGTGACGTGCCGCTTATACATTCATTTGTGACTTTAATGATATTTGGCGCCAATCATTTCAGTTGTGACCTCAACCCTCGAGTGTTTTCTTTTAAACTAGAAGTACGTTATTCGTAACACCTCGCTTCGCGCTTGGGCCATAAATCGATGGAAAAAAACTCGGTCCGTAATTTACAGTACGGACCGAGAACTCGGCTTGAGGTATGTAATCATTTTTTCACAGGGGATGAAAAACATGATAGAGCACTCAGTGGTAGCCTGTGAAAACATCCGTTTCTCCTCGCTCTTCGCCACTGGGGACATTTCGCGGGGAGAAAAGTCTGCGACTCAGAGACAGAAATTCCATACTGATGACGTAAAATCTGTCCGGAATCCGGTCAGAAGCGCTGATTGGTCGACGGAGTAGTTACATTGTTTTAGTTATTGTTTACGAATGACAGACAAAAGACAAAAGGCCACAAAGGCCAAATGTAAACGCGAAGAATCTCTAACAAAACAGTCAATATTTGTAGAATATAGTGTTCTCTAGAAGAAGCATTTGAGTTTTTGCCGGAGCTCGTAGGCACATGAACACAACACTTTCTCAAAATCGTACAGAAGACACGTAACATTGGACAAAAATATATTTGGAACCTCATGACCACCGGATTTATTATTATGTAAACATTTATTAACGTCATCAGTATGGAATTTCTGCCCCTGAGTCGCAGACGTTCCTCCACGCAAAACGTCCCCAGCGGCGAAGAGCGAGGAGAAACGGATGTTTTCGCAGGCTAACCCAGTGGAAGTCGTGTTGCTTGGAAAACTTAATGGAACTCAACGTCACAAGCGATGACGTCATTACTTTTACCAACCAGATATACATATGTAAAGCCAACTCATGTTTCTACTTCGCCGTGCCATCCACGCACGTTCCACGCGAAGTGTGAATTTCAACAATAAAATCGCTCCACGATTCGCGTGGAATTATCGGTCTTGAGTTTTAACAAAGCTACCAGTTTATCGGCACCAATTTCATACATTTGATCTTTCGATAAATTTTGTCTATGCTTTTAGGCCAGACGATTGTCAAATGACGTGTTTTTACTATCCTTCCAACAGAAATACTGGCAAACTTAATACTGAAGAATTTACGTTACTCGGCTTTCACGACTTAATATCTATCGACTTTAGGCTTACTCCTTGGGTCTCTGACCTCCAAGTTTTATTATGCCAAATAACAACATACCGCGTGAGATACTCTCCCCCACGATTTCCTTATTTGTATATTCTCCAAAGCGCATGACTTTGCGTTCGTCGCTGTTGATTTTTTTTAATTCGCGGATGTCTATGTGAGAACCAATTCCCACTGATAAAATCATTATTCCCATCTCTTTGATTTTCTTGATTTCTTTCTCAACGAGCTCCTTGTTTTGTTTTAAACAAACTTTGTGATCAGTAAACAACACCAAGACCTAAAAACAATGTTGCAAACAACAATTTAGTAATTCAGCGGTATTTAAACGTTAAACTGCTGCTCAGACGAACTGGGAGACTCAGCACGGGTTATATATACACTATATATAACGAACTTAAGTGAACAATTTCAATTTGTTAATGAAGAACTTCTTTTGAGTGACAACATTGTAGAAAGCTAAGCTGCTATGACTACGAGAAGTCCCTTACTTCAGTCTTAAAACTTAGCGGAGGGACTCGCCTAACACGCGAGTGGGGAAGCTGTGAGAGGCAAGGAGCGAGCGAGCCATCAGTCACACGCGTGACTATTTTCTTTTCGCTCGGGTTTAGCTCGTCGGACTAAGAAAAAAGATGGCTGCTTGTAGTTTTACATTAAGAAGACGCCCAGAGGTGTTCATTGGGCTTCCGTTAGCATCTGGGTAGTATTACACGTCCTAGATAGATAAACGAGAAGTTCAAAAGAATAGACAGCCTACATCTTGAACAACCTTGTTAATTAGCTGACCCTAAAGGGGAGCTTTGCACTCGCCTCGGCAGAAAACGACTCCCGAGCAAGGCCTTTCGGTCGGGCAGGGGCCTAATGGCTATGCCATGCTGGTGAACTCTAAGATTTAAGTCAAGGCTGTGTAGCGTGGCAATGAATTTATTTGGAACTAAATCACTGCTGACTCATTCCAGTTCTGACAGCCACCCCCAAACTAATGAGAGTCACTAAACCATTTCAGCGTCAACGCGAAAACACAAAGCCTTTTAAGTCAGCACGTAACTGAAGCCGTAACTTGCAGTAGTACTCTATTTCCCTCCTACTGTGTGGAATTCCTAGTTTTGGCGCCCGGGTCTTTTTTACATTTATTCACATTGAAATTCAGCCATTCGAAAAACGCATGTTTTATTAAAGGGGGGCTACTAAAATTAAAAGCCGGTCTCATGCTGGCAAATGAAATAGAGACGTGCTTTATCGAAACGGTAACACCGCCTTATGGGTTTGATCCGGTTGATTGTTGCATTTGTCACACGTGTTTTTGATGGAGACGACCGAGCAAAAGAATGTTTAGAGTGGTCATTGCCAGCCTAATAACTTGCATCACTGATGTATACATATTTTTAGAGAGTTTAAACAAGAGGACAGCGACAGCAACGGGAACGGCAAAACAGCAACTTTGCACGTGCATCACGCCCTTGTACATTTCTTTGTCGTCACTGCAGGACTACGACGTGAAAATGCCTAATTTCACGTTTTGAGGATTACGTGTACCCAATACAACGCTTTTCTTTTCCTTTTCCTGAACTTCGATACAGTTTTCTAGAATTCAACTCCAGAAAAATTTGCCAACATTTGAAGAATAGACCTTTTTTTACCGATACAGCGTCCATATTGAATTTATTAGATTTAAGGAGTATTATGGGATGCCCAGGGGGCACTTGCTTATTCTGATTCACGCGCGCTTTTCAGGCGAAAAGAGAACTTCAATGTAAATTTCTCGGGAAAAAGGTGATTATTATTACATCGAAACACGGCACAACGATCTTTTTTCCCAATTCAATCTTTTTCTAGGACGACTTACAGAAAAATTGGCCCGCAAAGCCCACGTAAATACTGAGCGAGTATATCGGATCGTTCTCATACCCCCTGGTCATCTCATAATACTTCTGTAATCCAATTAATTCAATATGGTCACCATATCGGTAAAAAGATGGAATCAAAAGCGTGATAAAGTTTGAAGCGGGGCGAATTCACTTTTTAAGTGACGTTCTCGTTGCCGTCGCCGTCGTTGTTGCTTAAACTCCCTGTTATAATTGCTGTTTTGCACGTGACGTCACGGCGGCCATTTTGGTGGTCGAGAGCAAAAGCGTTTCTCTCCTCTGGGAACTAAACTCTATTTTCATGTAAATTCTTCGAGAAAAATTCTATTGTTCTGATCCCCAACATGGCCGCCTTGTCACGTGGTTGAAAGGAAACAGAAAAGGACATGAAAAATCTGACTAATACGCAATTCGATTGGCTTGAAAGCTAAACTGTTAGTTTGAACAATAAATCTAATCAATAAGAAAGCATGCCTTTGTACACTAACTAGCAGCTACCTTTTCTGAGTTTGATCCCTCACTCTGTTTGAAGGCTTGTTCCACTATCCTCAGATCATCATGAAGGGCAGGAATTTTCACCTCGGTATTCCTTGTTAAATGTCCCACGCCTTCTGGTAAACAAATCTCTGTCGGAGATGTATCTTCATCTCCGTGTATGAATATCTGAAACTTCACCTGGTAGTTTTTGTACTTGTGCAGCAAGTAATCTATGGTGGATTTCATCAGGTCGAAGGCATCGTCTGCGGCATCAGAAGTTGCGTTTATAACAAAGGCAAGATCTATCTCTGTAAATAATCATTATTTTCCGATAAGTATTGCAATTAAAAACTAAATAAGAAACATTTACGTAGGCACGTCGTCATGCGATCCTGTGGTGGTAACGAGTCTGTCTTGGTCTGATGATTACCGTTTAAGAAGGGTGCGATTCCCCCCCCCCCCCCCCCCCCCCTCCTGGGCTCTTCCCTGGATCCGCTACTCGTGCTAAATTAACACTGCTGAGCAAATGTGTCTCTAAGATAATTACTCTGACTCCGAAAATATAACATCAATGAAGGAAAGTTGCCGAGAAAAAGAAAATTGCATTATTTCAGTTATATTTGTTTTCCCCTTTCATAGTCGCCTTCATTATATTCTTCTTAAATTGCAAAAAATAGATTAACTCTAAAGAAACAAAGTGAAATACCGCAGGTACCTGGCTCTCAACCGGCACCGGGGTATCGAGGTCGCGCAAGCGTTGCTTTATCTGTTGTCACGTGACCAGCGTAGTCAGGTGACCTGATGATGTCTTCATTTTGAAGTTATCTAAATTTCGGGAAAAGTTTCAGCAGAGTAACCTTGTTTCTGCATTATGGACCTGATCTACAAATCAAATTCGTTTCAAATCGTTTGTACAGAACTAATCAAATACTATGCCAACTTAATTACTTGCCTTTACTTCGATGTACAACTCTGTTAATGTGATGCTTTATATAAAGCAAAGTGAACAAGAATGGAAACAAAATGATGTCAAATAAACACCAAATGTTGAGAAATATCCATGTCCACCATCCGACCTCCAGCCAGGAAGATCTCTTCATTTTACCGAATGTTCCGAACCATTTTTTCTTCATTAAGTTCTGCACAACTGGATGAGCGAAAAACTGCAATAAAAGTTTGCACATAACAAAAAAAAAATCGTTAATATTTGAAAATGCAATCGATCTATTTTTTGTTATCCAATCTGATTTATTTTCCAAGGGTTTACTTCGATCATTTCCATGCAAGTGAAAAGATGTCTCATCATAACTCAACCCAGTAGCAACATCAACAACTCAAAGCTGGTTTGATCCAGATACATCGCATATAACGAGAAATCAAAAGTAAAACCATTAGCATTGAACGAACTCAAAAAATCATTGTTCACCCTGAGAAATCTCGTGATAAAAGCTACCATATCTACTTAGCTCAACTGTACATGGTTATAGCACTAGAAATCAGTACACCTTCTTTTGCTTCCGTTTGATGCCAGCTTCTACAATACAATCCAGAGTCTCCCCGAAGATATAACGAGCCTCTTTGTCGATCTTCAAAGGTTCAAGCAAGCAGTTGGTGAACTCGTCCACTGAGTTTGCCAACTTGGTAAAGTTATCTTCGTCTTGTCCCTTTCGTTCTGCTAACCGTTGGAGCTCAAAATTTACCTGTGGCAATAAGGGGGAGGGAGAAAAGGCCGTTGGTTTAGAAGGTTTCTAGTTTGTATTTGAATGCATTTACAGAGATCTAAAAGTACTGTGGATGGCCTGAAAAGTTTTTTCATCGTATTTTGGAGGAAACCGTCGTTGGGTGCCCCTGAAGTGTACCGTTCGGTGATAAATGAAGAAAGATGGCAATGTGAAAATTCTAAAGTTAATGAGAGAGATGCAATAATCGCCATGTCACGGCCGTGGAACACTGAAGGACAAGTAGTAAGCTTTCATACCATATCCTCACTAGAATTATTAATCATAAAAAAGCAACTACAACACATAAAGTGGATCAGGAGGGAAGAATTTACTAGAACAAACAACAAATAAACGAATATTTTTGTTTTTTCATGACCCACCTCCATTGCCATAAGTAACGCATTGGTGTCGCATTTTGTAAGAGCCCGCTGTGATAACTCGTTAGTGATATCATCAATATCGCCTTTCCTTAAAATCCTCCTCAGTTTGCATTCAAAATCTAGTGACAAAAAGTTTAGGGGTAAGCAATTTTATTCAACCAAGATTGTGCGTGGGAGAAAAATTCAGTGTGACATTCGTCCATCTCATCCGATCATGACTCGCTTCTCTATATACGCAGTCCCTTCCCTCCCGGACCCTTTCATGAGTATTCCAAAGAAAAATGAAATAAGTAACGAGTAAAAAGCATCTTAAGAGAAGAAGTTAATAACAAAGGACTTTAAAAGGTACAACATTCGGATAACCGTAATACTTGGCTTCTTGGCATTCTACAATGACAATGAAACGGCTTTTTTTCGTATGGACACCATGGTAGATTTTAACAGCTCCGTATTATAAAGATCCTTTTTTTTTCTTAAAATGATTACAGCCCATCTTTTCTCTTAAATCCTTATCCCGGTGTGCTCTCGCTTGGAGCGTGCTACCCAGACAAATTTTGAAAAGAAAATCAAGAGGCAGCCAAGGAAAATCGTCTAATGCCTATCCCTTAGGTTTCCGGAACTGTTGATCTTACAGGTGTAGATGCCGCTATTGAACTGGCTGTTCGCGAACATTGAGCAAGTATAAAGTATCTAGATTTAGCCAGGGTTTAAAGCGAAGCCTCCACTCATGTACTTATATCAAAAGCAGTTAACTTTAAACTAATAAACTCTAAGGCACTAAAAAGAAATCCCTACTTAACTCTAGGAGCCTTCGATATCAGTTTACCTCCTTTTCAGGGAGCGGTTGGGTCATTAATAAAAAGTATCCTGAATTGAAAACACACCTAAAAGGAAAAAAAAAAACCTCTCCAAAAGAGCTAAAAGTCGCATATTTTCACAATGCATAAAGTTCGATTTCAGTAGTAGAATTCTTCGAAACTACATCATCGAACCCCCGCCACACCCCTTTATGTCTCTTTAAGTAGCAGCAATTTACATTTTACGATTTCTAGGGCAGTATGTCTGTCTTAAGGGAAGACCTAAAAGAAAAATCAGGCCGACGTCTGTGTTTCCATAAGCTTCTGATCTTATGTGTTTTCTTATCGGGCCGTTGGTGTAGCCTATACATTTATACCTCACAATATCTGATAGAACATTTTATCATAAGGTACTCTTTGTTTTCTTTGGGTACAGACCTAGGACAGCAAATAACTCACATGTTCAGGTTTTGTGCATAATGCAGTGAATTCACTGAGAAACGTGCGATAGACTTATTCCACTACAAATTATTAAGTAAACGTTGCAACAAATTTTTTTTTTTCAAAATGGCTAACTCGGGCTCAGAAAGCCGACTAGTCTGTAGTTAGTAGAAAGGAAAACTCTTTTATATCTAACAGATACGTATACTTTTTTCGGCAGGGATAGAACGCGTAAACAAAAGCATCAAACTTCGTTCGGGTGTACGGTGACGTCAAAACCAAATTTTCTCGCTTCGATAGGTTTTCATTTTCTATAGCAGAGGAGGCTCCACTTCTCGATAAGTTGTGTTTAATTTAGATAAAAGCGTTGGGCAAATTGAAAATGGATTAGAACGCGGTTTTGTTAAACACTAGCTAAAACTCCGTTTGAATGACCGGCCCAAAAAGTGTTGACAGTTTCGCCTTTTCTTAATTCACAATGGACCTTCATATGGCATTGAATTCTATAGTAAACACAGTTAGTATGTTAGCAAGGTTACTTTAGAGTCATGTAGAGTCGCGCCTTAGGCACGGCCAATGTAGGGATCACAATGCCAAAAAAGGACAATTTGTTAAAGAGCTGAACCTAAACCCCATCTCGCTTAAACCAAACCCCATCTCGCGCCACGTACATTGATATAATGCTCAAATAGGGTAGTCCATGCAACACTTACTCCTTTTAATAAGTTCAACATTCCACCAGTACTAACCTTTCCTTTCTTCTTTATTTCTACTCGAATTATCACCATTGATACTTTCCATCTCTATAATCTCTTCACATTGCTCAGTCATTATTTAGCGTTGACGTCTATCATGAAAAAAAAAAACATGAACTTTTGCGAGTTAGAAATACGCCTATTAAAGATTGCGTTATTTCGTTAATAACCAACTAGTTTCTTATCACTCGGTAACTTTAACTCTCCCCTCCCCTCCAACCAATAAAGCACGGTCAAAGTGTTGCACAAAAAGCGGTGAGGAACATGAATACAAAGGACAACCCAGGTACTCTGCCGATGAATATCTGTTTAACAGAGCAGCCTACAAGTCAGTGAGATTGGAAAGGTCCAAGGAGAAATGACAGAAACAGTAGTTACTGCAAGAAGGGAGAGGGGACGAAAGGAGGGGTCAAGTGATCTTGTCCAGTCGTCTGGTGACAATGTCTATCCTGCGTCTGATGCTTCATCTCGCCAAAAAAGCAAGGACAATGTGCTTTGATGCCGATGTGTTCAATCCGTCAACTTTCACAGAAGAGGAGGAAAAGGAAATCAATGTTAAAGACATATGATATGCGGTTCTTTGAAAGAAAGCTTTGTTTATGACAAAAATTTTCAGGGGCACCCAACGATGGTTTCCTCCTAAATACACCGTTTTTTAGGCTATCCAGAGTACTTTAAAATCTCTAGAGACGCATTCTAAGGGGTCTTATAAAATTGTACCTGTTCGGTCATCCTAGGGGAACTTGAGTCTGTTGGAAATTACAATGGCTTCAGTAATATATAGTTTTAGCCAGGGCTAAAAGCGAAGCTCCAATTAATAAATTTATAATTTAAATCAAACAATAAACTTTTAATCCACAAATCAGTTAACTTAAGGGCACATTCATGTGACTTTTGAGGGAAAGGCTAAGTTATTTTAGAGTGAAACATCTTACATCGAATTGATAGCCTTAGATGTACACCCAAGAAATAGCAAACATCTTCGATCATATTGAAGGTCACAGTAGATTAGGCCTCGAAAACAAATTCTTGGAAAACAAATCAGGCCTATGTTTTTTGCGTTCGACAGGTTTACTTTACAAATTCTTGCTAACAAATCTGGGGCTGTTTAAACCAACCTTTTATAACTGACTTTTACACATCACATTTGAGGTGAAACAGTACTATTTATCATACAGACCTCGGACAGAATGCGGTATTTCACAGTTTTTCAAGACCAATTGGACTGAGTCAATATTCAGGACGATCAGGCGTGGGCTTTAAGCGAAACCAACGTTCAAAAAATTTCCAAAATCACCCATACGGCCATCCGGTTCTCATTTCTATAGTGCGAGCTGTCAGTGTGGTCGAGTGTTTTAATGAACTTTAATAGAGTAACGCTTCAACATAATAATGAATTTATTATTATTACTTTTTGTTATTTAATGGTTTCAGTTATAACGACTCTAATAAAGCGTTTGATACGCGCGACATTTTTCAGTACTCCTGAAAGAGCTGTTCCTGAACGATGAAAACAAGCGGCACGGACAAGCGATTAAAATTGCAAGAGAGACAACTAAAAATCAGTAAAAGAAATGTAATTCGTTGAAACATTTACAGAGACAACAATTTTCGTTCACGAAGACAAGTATTAAAGTGTCTCTAAAAATCCTGAGTCTTTAATCGTAAAGCTTAAGTTTATGTTTTAAGCCGGCTTCCCGGCGCGGTGTTTACTGTTTTCGAAGGTAAACTCCTCGAAGCAAGAAACTCGCTCAAAGTCTTTTTTTCTACAGCCAAATTTATAACTAAATATTCTTCGGAACGTTTTCTTTCTATTTGCGGTGAGAAAATATATCTGAAGGCTTTTTAAATTTCTGTAAGCTTATATCAAACCTGATACTAGGTCAGATCATTGACTCAAATCCTACAAACGTGCATAAACTTGCCGCATAAACTGTCAGCGTGAACTGTGCTCGACTTCATGAAATTAGATATAACAGAAAACATCAAATACAATCATTACTCAGGCTTTCGGGATTCACTTCCTGAAAGCTATCAAGGAAAGCCACAGTTGTTTGAGACTTTTAAACCCTCTTACACATTAAGCAAGGTGAAAAACGAAAACGAGGCCATCCGAAATCGAATTACCAAATTTTGACAAGCGACGCACTTCTCGACCAAAAACCCAGTAAACAAACCAGCCATGAATAACAGAAGACTCTTGATAGCAGCTGTATTTCATTTTGTACATCCAGAGGAAAAAGACAGTTAAAAACATCACAAGTTGACACAAAACTCTGTCAGCTTCAGCTGTCAAAGTAAACAACTTTCAAGATGCTGCATAAATTTTCCGCATGAACTCACCTGTCAAATTTTGACCAATCAGAGCGTAAAAATTGGACGCAGGGCGTGACCAACGCGTGACAATGGTAAGAAAAGGTCTTCCCCGCCTGCACTTTTAAAAAAACTGGCTGAATTTTCGCGTCCGAGGTCAGTTTGAAATCAAAATCCTAATAGGGCGGGGCGATAGTGACATAAAAACAACACATTTGATATGAATCATTGGAAAAATAAGCTTGATCCTGCGATCATTTGAAACTGGTAATTTGTCAGCGGATAACTTCAAAAAAATTCTCGACCTCGATGGGTCGATACTTAAGCCCGCGGTGTGGTCAGGTGATACTGGTCAGCGATGCCCTGTTTTGACAGCTGTCATTTGATCACAACATCGATGTGCAATTAGTTTTCTCTTGGGCTGCCAAACTAGCCAGAAAGTGTGAGAGTAAACATTGGTTTACCTGTGTGTGCGGACGGACGGTCGGCGGGAGGTCGGTGTACGGTCACGTGATTACCAAATTTTCTGGGATGGGTAGTGGAGCTCTGCTATTATTTTGAAGAAATTTTAGATGCAATTTAACGTATTACGAAAGTGATAATTTTTCTAATTCCTCTCTCCTTCACATTTTTGAATCCGAAAATTTTAGGTTTCCTTTTTTCTACGAAAAATAGCCTAACCTGGGCAGTGAAATGTAAAGAATTAATCGTAGGGAATAGATAAGCTTCGAAAATTGTACATGAGTGGAACAGTTATCTATAAATTTCGAACCGTCCTCAAGCAATAGAAAATTCTAGGCAGCATTTGCTTCTCCGAACAGATATTTTACAGAAACCAATCGTTGGGTGCCCCTAATTATTGAAATGTCTGAGAACGAATTTATACATTATCAATCTCACATGATCGGTCATGTAGAATCAGTCACCATCGAAACTTAAAAGCCAGGGAAGGTGTAGGGGAAGACCAAGAACAAACAAATACCACATTGAGAAGATCAAGACGAGCAAGGAAGAGGGCAAATTTGACGAGTTTATGTATTATGATGATTGACTAGGAGAGTTAAGGTTAGTTCTAATGCTCATCCCACTCTGATCAATCGTGAATTTCGCTCAAATGCTTGAGATGATGTGTCACACCAATTGAACGTCACATACAATCTATTCTCTTCTTTCATAAGTTTTGTTTTTGGTGTCTTTTTTCTTTTTTTTTTTTTTTGCTAGAAGGAATTGAGGGCGGTGATAAGTGGTAAGCAAATTTATTAAAAGGGGAACAAATAACGAAAACGTGTTGGAACATGGGAACACAGGACAGTTTTGGAAGGGAACAAGTAGCCCCTCTGGAAGGCCCTCAGCTTTTGAGACTTTGTAACATGAGGCACAATTTTTGCGCGACTACGTAAGAGAGAATTTATGAGAACTGCTAAAATTGGACCTGATCTCAGGTTATTTAATCAAAACCTGAACCACCATACATGTTAACGCTTTTTTCATCATAAATTTTGATATTTACACAATGTCACTACTCCAGAGTAAGTTTTTTTCATAGCGGTTTTGGCATGAACGGATGGTAAAAATGACATTGTTGAGACCGCAGACATACATTTAACTTGTACTATGCCTTCCTTTTAACAACAATTTTACAATTAGAACAGCATTCAACAAAAAGAAGTGAGAAATATTGCCTCTTCAATGCAAGAATAGATTGAAAAGTTAAATCATTAAGTACCTGAAAACCGGACTGGGTTCTTTTCCTTTCCTCGGTTTGTTAGTACATTGCGTCTTATTTAGCATCTCTGTTTACAACAGGAAGACAAAAAATATTGCAGCTGGTGATCATAATAATATTGCTTTGTGAAAGTTTAAAAAAACGTTTACAAATATAAAAGAACGGCACTTAATGATGTTTTCTTTCAAATGAGCATTATTATGCACTGCCTTAAGTACAAGTTAAACTTCATAAAAACAAGAAAAAATACATCATACCATTACAATAGTAAACGATATTTCCTCTCTTAGTAGTTCAAGGTAAGAAGTATAAAATACACCCAAAAAAGTGGCCCAAGTTAACATCTGTTAAACTCTTATCCTAAATGGACATCATATGCATATTGTAATCAACTTAACGACTTTAATGGTTTGAAGTCTAAGCGTCCCTTAAAGAGTTTAATAGATTATAGTAGTTTCTAATATTTTTTACTCTTGAAGATTAAGGATTGAATGATGGCTCCCTTCAGTTTCTTTTTGATCTCCTCACTCGAATACTTCTTAGTGGTTTAGTTAAGTTTCATATTGGTTAAAACCAGTAAAGAAAAAAATATAAGTTCAATGAGAAAACGGTTAGTCGCCTGAAAAGTCACCTGTTTTTAGAAAAATTGATATATGCAGACTCTATCAATTGGACCGGACCCTCATTAGCTGTTAACGGCCTTTTCCATTGTCTCATTTGACATGCATTTTTATTTATTCAAAATATTTCTCCGTTTCTGATTGGCCTCAACTTTCTATTTTCATAACTTGCTGGTGCTGACCAAATTTAGAAAATGTTTAGGTTATACCATCATTCCCATCGGTCACTCCGACATCAAGGAATGATGTACCGTGTGGCACGAATTTTTTGCGGGAGTTTATTTTTGGGGATTAGAAACGCTTAGTTTTTCTTGCTGGGAATTAATTTTTGCGAATTTCAGAAAGTACCAAGTACCCAACATTGATAATATTTTTGTTTTTATTAAGTACGTGCAATAGAAATACATATTTTAAAAC